CTATTATTAATAATAATAACAATATTATTATTATTACTGTTATTACTATCAAACAAAACAGCCCGTGACAATCTCCAGCTCCACAATGTAAGTATCAGTTTCCGGTATGACAAAGTTTGTTAATTCATTACACATTACTCCCTCTCTTTGCTCAGATACATAGTTGCTGAAAAAACACCAACCCAACGATTACGTCTAGCTAATTACGCAAAACGCGGACGCTATTCGCCGACAATGACGCAGGGCTGTGATATTCAGGGCAGAGGGTTAAGGAGCGGATGTTATTAATCTATTTTATCATCGTGTTAACTAATGTTCATTTGTTTTGTTGATTTCAGAAAAAACGCAACTTCTGCTGATAACCCGAAGGTGGAAATGAGTTGTGCCAACGCCCAGAGGAGCTTCGCCGCCTCGTCATACCAGACATGTACACGTCATTGACTTACATGGATGTCAGTAACCTTTGTGAAGCGCAAGCAGCTAACTAAGCCTCGGGAGAAATCTATTCGCTCCCCGCCTCGCCAAGCAAATTCTTTCCTAATATGGAAGAAAACGGAATCCAAATCAATGTAGACATTTCCGAGACTCTTATCGAACACGAAGAATTGGACAAGTTGTTAGCCCTGAAGGAAGATGAGTTACGCGGTTTGCCAAGTGACGATGTTAAGATTATTGAAGATCAACGAGGTCTTGCAGATTCTTTCGGTCCGTCTCTATTGTCTTCTTTTTCCTCTCTGGACCGACTCCCAGAGAGGTTTATTAAAGATTCAACAATTGGAGAGCTACCCCTCATTGCTGAGGGGCTCGAGTCGCAGACCTTCTCCACAGCCAAAGAAGTATCGGACCTCCTAACAGATCATTCACCTCAGAGATTGGTGTTTCCAGGCTTTCTTGGGGAAGATTCTGTTGGTGATATGACTGAAATGTTCAACTCCACCACAACATCTGCACTCAGTGATCGAGTATCGAACACGTCGTGGGCAGATCAGGGTACGGTTTGGTCCTCAGAACAAATAGGGGCGGTGTTTGTGGTGAGTCTTATGGTACCTTTCATTTTGTGCAGTAACTTCTTCGTCATCATGAGCGTGGTGCGGTTTCGGCGTCTTCACACGCCCACAAACTATTTCATTACATCTCTAGCAGCTGTTGACATTTTCGTCGCCTTGGCAACGCCGTTTGTTGTCGTTGTCGAGGTCTTTCTTTTCGCTGGCGGTTGGGACTCGAAAGACGCCGTGTTGTGTCTTCTGCCTAACCGAGTGTTGATGACCACATGCGGGGTGTCACTATTAACGTTAGCAACAATTGCTTACGATAGGCACACAGCTTTAGCCTGCCCACTGGAGTACGTGAACATCATGACGTCGAGGAAAGTGACTGTTCTAGTGTCTCTCACCTGGATCTACTCCACGTTTATCGTGTGGCTGCCTCTGGCCGCAGGATGGTATGACAACACCTCGGATGTCATCACATCCTACTCCGCGAGTTTACTGCACGACAAAGCGCACATCCTGTTCCTCAGCGCTATATTCCTACCTTCCTGCATCGCGATACTCTTTTGCTACTTTCGAATCTTCATCGTGGCACGACACCACGCCAAAGCGATAGCAGCTGTAGAGTTTGCAGTGCACCGTCATCTGCAGGTGAAGTTCATGATCAAAGACACAAAGTACGCCAAAACTCTAGCTCTTGTCATAGGGGTTTTCCTTGTGTTATGGCTCCCTTATTTGATCTGCATGTTCATCGAAACCATCAGCAACATCTCTTTCAACGTATGGCTACACACCTACTTGACTTTGCTCGCCGTGTTCAACAGCGGCATCAACCCGTGGATATACGCCTTTAAAAACAATGAGTTCAAAGCAGCTTTCAAACGCATGTTTAAAGATTATTTGAAGAACAAGGTCTGCTTGTCCGAGGACCGACGAGCAAGCCTTGTGTCCGGCATCAGCAGTACACCACGACTAAGCAGAACAGACAGTCGGATGGTTTCTACCATTATGGAACATACTCTGGACTCAACAAATGAAAAACTGAAAAGAAGTCTCGATTCTTTGGACGAACTCGAAAACGATTTTCCTCACTCAGTCGTGAGCCACACTCACTCAGTTAGCAGCCAGTCACATTTAGTAGGCAGCCACACTCGAAGTCACTCTGTGATCTTCGAGGAAGCGGAAGGGTTGCCTTCTCCATCAAATCCCATACCTCCCCACAAAGAGAGGCAAGAAAATTATCATTATCCAGGCTTGGATTCGAACGAAACCCTTCCGGAGTCTGTGCTTTGCCCGTCTACCAAGCCCCACGGTGTTTGTGGGGATGGTTTCACTGAGCAGCAAACGCTTCCTGCTCCTCTTGTGGAAATCATTCACGTGAGACCATCAGATGACTGTAGTAAAACCAGTGCACACAATGATAAACAATGTTTTCCAATATTAGGTTATGTCTCGTCTGTAGTAGGGGGCGACTGCGTTGTCAAAGCGGGTAAGAGTGACATTGCTGCTGATTATGATGCTCTCAATTGTGTTTCAATGCCTGTATCATATGCATCGCCTTCTGTGCTATTTCCATCGGTGCACTCATTATCAATACTTTCATCGTCTGTTCAGTCATCTAATGTATCAACGGCAGAAGTATATCTGCCTGAACCTTCCTCTCGCAAATCATCATCATCATCATCATCATCATCATCATCATCATCATCATCATCATCATCATCATCATCATCATCATCATCATCATCAGCATCATCATCACCACCACCACCAATGTCTGCTATCATATCAGATTCACAGCAACCATTGCCCCAATCGTCCACATTGACCATGCCCTCCTTCTCACATCCAGACAATGACACCCCACACACCCCACACCCGTCCCCGCCACACCTCCGGCGCACACAAACCACCGGCTACTTCTACCACACTGACGACGCTTTCTGCAACCACTCATGTGACAATGGTTGCTATGACAGCAGCGCCACTTTCCACCCATATTTTCAGAGCATTCCTAGTCATTGCGTAGAAACTCTAGATCAAAATAGCGACCACAGCATCCTTCCACACCTCTTGACTCACACTCATTCTTGTCCCAGCTTCTCACCTCTGTTCCAGTTTCAAAATTCCTTCTTTCCATTGGATCATCACGTTATCACGCTTCAAAGAACAGCGGACATGACAGGCTCTAGCGGCAGCTACGTATCTCAAACTCAAAACACTGATTTGGGCGTACCAAACCAAAGGCAGGCCCGTATCATCTTTCCATAGGTACAGAACATAAGAGCAGTGTCAGCTCAAATCTTGACAAACGCCAAATTTTAAAACATTTTAGAATTAAATTATCCTCTCAAACAGAGAAAAAGATATCTCATCTGATTGAAATCATAGCGTCCCCAAAACACGAGATATTAAATTTAGACCTATAAATTCGGCTACATTTTAAAATATTATCATATTATACCACTATACAACCTCTTTGAAATAAGCAAATGCCAAATTCGAGTACATATTTCGAACGTCAAGAATGAATGATAATTATTGTCTCATTTTCAAATTTTCTAACGTTCCTTGGTTGTAGTCATCAAGCTTTAGTCTGGCGTATAACAGGTATGGTATGATAAAAAGGTCTACATGAAAAACTGGCGGTCAATCTCTTTGTCTTTCAAATACGTTTTGTACTTTTTTCCAAACACCTTCCGCGTTCCCTTCAAATTTTCGTTTTGGTAAAAAGTAGTAAATGTTTGTCGAAACAGGACTGGTGTCCCTTAAGGGTCTCCTTTAAACAGGAGAGCACCAATGCTAAATGAAAACTGACATGACAAGCGCAGTTAGTTCCCTTTTAAGAAGTATTTCGTTCCTTTTACCGGTACCAACTTTACTTGCACAAGATGTCATCTCTTGATCCCGTTCGAAGACCCACATAATGTCCGTCTTCAAATCACTTTTCCTCCTAAATATTTCCGCCTCATTCCAATCTAATTCAAAGCAACATTTAAGCAATGTAGATGTAAGTTTCGTTTCGGAGGACATAATTTGTTCTTAAAAGTCAGACACTGTAGAACCAGATATTTTCAATTACACACTGCTTAGTTTATACACTTCTTCTTGATAAGAAACCCAGTTTTAAAGATTTTTTTCTAGGCTATTCCTTTCAAATATCCTAGAGAATTTGGTAGAAGAAATTCTTTAAATCTGTCTAGATCTTTTGGATTTCACGTGCCTTGAAAAAGAGTTTAACATACCGTAGGCCCTACTGACTTTTCGTGGTTGAACAAAGCGCCTCAGTCTGAAAGAAGTCAAATCTAAAACTAGAGTCCCTACTACTGCCACGACGCATAAAAAGGTACAGAAGTACTACACCAGGACTCTTAAAAGTGGCCGTTTATATGGCAAAGGATTTAACTTAAGTGGAAAAGGTGTAGTTTTTGTGTTGGTGTGTCGACGATGTTCTGTGCTACCATAATGCCGTGCGTGCTGTCTTTGGCACGCCCACGGCTGTCAGGTTCGCCTCACCGAAAGGCCGGGCAAGAGACCTGAATGAAAAAAAAATGTTTAAATACAGAAGAACCGGGGACAGACGGTCTTCGTGTCCGATCAAATTGCTGATAATGGTGGGGGAAACGGTGAGGATGGTGAACGACACGTCGCAAACGTATTACAGTTACTTTTAACTGTTAGAATGACTTCCACTCAAAGCTCTCAAGCTCGCTCTCTCGCTCTCTCTCTCTCTCTCTCTCTCTCTCTCTCTCTCTCTCTCTCTCTCTCTCTCTCTCTCTCCCAGTTCACGTTAGTACCCCGGAAATTCAACGATCAGCTGACCATGACGCGCGTGGAAAAAACGAAAAGACCTTGCCATGTCTGATCCAAAAAATTCTCGTTTGATTTTGGAGGACATTTTTGTTCGATACATTAAAAAAGACAGACTACGTAGAGCCTGAAAGTCCTAGGCTCGTAATTTTCCACTGCACCTTTCTACCTTGTGGTTTTCTTTTTTCTTTTTTCTTTTAA